GGACATACTTGACAAAACTTCCAAAAAAAAAAGTAGTAACATAAATTACGATAAAAACTTTAGGAATACAAATCAACAACTGAACTAAACCCGATTACCATAATAGAAGACCCATCACATCCGCTTAACAGCTCATTTACACTACAACAAATATATGAAGCACTCCAAGACAGAAAAATCAAAAGTACCGGACCAGATGGTATACCATTTATTTTCTTACAAAAACTTTCACTGCTCAGCATACAAATCTTACTAAACATATATAACGCAATCTGGTCATCAGGTAACTTCCCCTCCAGCTGGAAAACAGCTATAATTATTCTTATACCGAAATCAAATAAAGATAAGTTTCAACCCGAAAATCATCGTCCAATATCTCTATTATGCTCAACAAGTAAATCACTTCAAAAAAATATTTGACATTAGAATCAGATAGTTCTTGGAGTCAAACAAACTCTTAGCTATAAAACAAAGTGGTTTTAGAAAACACCGTACGACAATGTACCCTTTAATTTACTTACATAATGAAATATGCAGTGCATTTCAAAATAAACAAGAACTAACAGCCGTATGTCTAGATCTAGAAAAAGCGTATGATATGGTATGGGCCAGACATGTACTAAATAATCTGTTAAAGTGGGGCATCAACGGATCCACGCTAAAATTCGTTCAAAACTTCTTAACGTTTTTGTCAAAGTCAATGACAACACATACGAATCACCTTTACGAATGACAATGGACTTCCACAAGGCTCTTCTTTAAGTGTAATCCTTTTTTTAGTGGTAATAAACGAAGCCAGTTCCACAAAACAGTCTCCAAACAAAACTAAGTATCTTCGCAGACGACTGTAAAACTTGAATGACCTCACAATCAAACACATAATCGAAGAATGTAAGGAATATGAAGAAAAGCGCACTCAGTATAAAATTCCAAACAAGATCGAAGAAGCACTATCTGAAAACATCCAGAACATAAACAAAATAATACAATTTATACAGAAAACTAATTTAATTAAAACACTGTAAAATACATAAATTATACACCATTATTGTAAGTATCTAAACATCATATAAATCATATGCAAACGGCTAATGATTAATGTTGAAGCCAAACCTTTAAACATTTTTTTTTATAAAATACTCCATAGTGTGTACGTATTTCGGCAGCAGAGTTACCATCATCAGCGAATACAACAGACTGAGTAAAGTTGTGTGGTTACGGGTTTATTTAAATAGTAAATTATTTGCTTTCTTTATTATGGATTTTAAATGTTTGTAAAATATTCTCGTAACATTATGGCCATTGTGGACATATTAGTAAATAATATTGCAAAAATATTGAATTTCGGGCCAAAAAGTATTTCATAAAACGATATTGTAACAACTAAAATATTTTCACAAAACATATTTCTTAAACGTGTTCACAATGTTTAATTACTGTTTGATATACAAATGAATTTTTCAAGAAAGTATTACTATATAAATAATCAAATTTCAAAGTTGGTCGTATAAATCGTTTTCCGTGTAAATGAATCATATTTAAAAATATAGTTGGTAATTATTTTGAACAAAAGAAACATACAAATCAGAAAATATGCAGAAAAGTGTTTTAGAACCTATTTTATGATACAAAATTTTTTAAAGTTGATTATTTCTATTTTCCAAGAAAATCCGTAATTTATGCATAACCATTAGCATGTACTTTTATGTGTGACTTGCCATTGAGTACATAATATTACCGAAAAAAAAATGGAATAAATATTTTTAATGATAGCTGAAAATAAAAACTTATCGTTAGCCATTAATTATTAATGATTTTTAATAATGCTAACAGTTGTATTTAAGAATTATAAATCGGAACGTTCGGCTACAGTGTTCTTGATAAATAAACCAAAGTACGTTGTGTCGGTAAAAGTCTGTTACTATACATTACCTAGTGATGGGAATCGGAAAATCCGGATTTTCACAAAAAAACGCTATTTAAGCTACTTAGAAATCGTATAAGTGTTAAATAATTTTACAATATAAAGCTCTATATCTAAGTAACAATTTTTTAATAAATATTTAAAAATAAAACAAAACACCAAAGAGATAAACTGCCTTTGAATTTCGGATTTCAACAAATCTGAAAATCCAGAATCCGAAATCCGAAAGCATTTTATAGACAGAGTTTTTTTTAAAAATTTTTATCAACAAATTGTTCTTAGGTATACATTTTTATATTGTAATAGTATTTAACAATTTTTATGATTTTCAAATGACTTAAAAAGCGTTTTTTTGAAAAATCCGGATTTTCGGATTCCCATTACTAACATTACCTTCCATCTTGTAACATTATTTCAGCTTCTTAAATTTGTTTTCCTATGGTTCGTCTAATCACACACAATTACCTTTACACAAATATCGGTTTATAAAACAAACAAGTAAGTAATATTGATACCTAACCACAGAGTCATGTGTGGGGCAACTGACAAGTCCTTCGAACAATAAGCAATTTCATATTTACTTTTAGAAACATTATTTTATTTTTGGGAACATTATAGTATTAAAGAATATGTGTTTAAATATTAGCTAGATGTGATGAATTTTAGTAGGCATAAGATAAAAATTGTTATACATCAGTTACAACAATAAATACATTAAACGCGAACTAATTTCAAGAGTAAAAAAACACAAATTTTCAATGATTATCCAGAAAATGAGCTGAACACCTAAAATCAATCACGCTGAACAGAACCTTTTTTTTTGTCTAGCCCTTAATTACTATGTTTTTGAATGGTCACTCCTTATTCATAGATGTACCTATTTATAAAAAAAATTAAATAATTGTGGAGCATTTTAATAGCGATGCGATTGACATAGCACCTATTTCAAATGCCAATTAAGGGCACGATTTAAGTAACAACACAGTCGTTTGTTCATAGTATGAATGGTTTTTTTTTTGGGGGGGGGGATTTCCTGCCTAACTCTGCGGTTAATAATGCTAATATTAATAACAGCTGTACTATTTCTCTGTGTTGTACCTAACAGACATGGTTGGGAAGTGCATTTGTTTGGTGATCGTTTTCTGTGCCTTGATAGCTGTCCACATCCAGGCTGATGAATCAGCCGACAACGAAGACGAGAAGTTCTTGTCGAAAAGAAGTTTGCCCGGGGTAAATTTTCTCCGCAATATAATAAGTCCTTCGACATCGCCAACAGAAACCGACACTGCGTCTAAGGGGACACAAAGACCTAATCGTTCGTCGTTTCTGTCTGTACAATCGGTTTGGGAAAACATCAGAAATGTTGGCATGCAAGTGGTGACAAAAGTCATAGAAATAGCAAATACTTTCTTTGCTTTCTTGATGCAAAAACTGATGTATGTGTTTATACATAAGCACGACTAGACGTTGTTCTTATTTAACACCTACGCGATCGGTTTGATGTCACTACTATTGTTCGGATGATCGATACAATATTGTAAGCGTGTTTTGTTTTTTTTAATTACTTATTTTAAATTGTACACGTTTGTAAAAAAAATTTAAAAAAATACATCATGAACAAAAAAAATAATATCTGATTACAAATTGTTTTTTTTTTAGTATTAAAGTAACAGCCAGATATAAACATTATAAAAATACAATGTTATCAACATGTTGCCATTTTTTTTTTTAACAGTTAACAATGAAACGTGTAATTTATAACAATACATTGAAAAAATATTTTAGGAAAGTCTAATAATTGTTAATTGTAAACTGTTAAATGTTGACTTGAAGCATTATCAATACTATTAAAAAGTCCTCATTGCTGTGCTACATATTACAATGATACTAAACTTGAATTTTGCAATAATAATGTACTTACACCGTATCCTTAAACAAACATACCTACTCGTAGGTGACGTGATGTGTTAAGTCGAAATACTATGTCAATATTGTTGAAATTTAATGATTTTCTGAATAATTTGTTGGGATGGAGCTGGTTCTAATTCACTGGGTACATTTAGTCTCATCTCCTCTTAAAATTGATCAAAATATTATGGTAAAATGTATTACGTTGAAGTTACATAGGTAACTTAATAATATTTATGTCATATTTCTAAGGTTAGGCATCATTTATGTGAGAAAACTTATTTGTTAAAGTAAATTGTATTAATCTGACCTGCATGACTTATTTTAAGTACCCTACAATTTTCCGTGGAAATTGAATTAAACATAACTCGTTCTAGTTTTTTTAATACGTGCGTACCCGCAAGAATGAACATATTCTAAAGTACAAAATTAAAAAATTATTGAAGGATATTAATCTAGAAAAAACTTGAGCAACTTGTGGATATATATAATAAAATAATATTTAGAGGATATTAAAAAGATATTACATTTAAAAAATTTCAATATTTTAAAGTTACAAAATACTGAAATATAGAATACTGAAAATTGTATAATTACCCTGCTTAAAATTCTATAAATAATAATTTTCCTATTTTTTTTTACTTAGAATACCTTCTAAGATGGTTATATTTTGTTTAGTAGATTTTTTTATATTTTTTTACCTTTTCTAGTAAAAAAAAAAAAATATTTTCCATAATATTATTTTATATATTTTTTTTGTTTTTACATCTGAGCGAATCGAGTTCCAAGTCCACATTTGGATTGTTTACCATGGAACATAATAGACTATCACGTCTATCGTAAAAGTCATTAATATCGTATATTGAATGTAAATCATATTATATAGTATTATGAACTGGGTGCGATGCGATTTTGATTTTTGATTTTCCATAGTACTGTAACGCTACACAAATACAGTGTATGCTTCTATTGTAAGAACGGAACGTCGACAGACACAATCGATCATGTTTTAATGTAAAAAAAAAAAAAGAATAAATAAACAAAGAAGGGAAGGGTAAAACTGTGGCATAGCAGTACTCGGGTCGTGTGTCGTGCTTGAACCCTTTTAAATATATATTATAATTGGAAGTTACGGACACGCTTATACGACACAGGTACCTACTTTGCTATGACGACAAACACACAAATGGCGGAATCGATGTCGTCGAACTACGGGACTTCAGACGTGAGTTGAATGGTTTTTATTTTTATTTTGATATTATTATTTATTCAGAAGTATTGTGTAATATTTTATTGTTATTATTGCGTTTAACTATTGATTGTTTGTCGCAAGCACGAGAACCCGGTGTTTACCGTTTTTGGAACAAACGCAGACACCGACACGGATTCGCATCGAAAACGGCAGACATGCACTAATATCCCATTGTTGCCGGCCGCCCCTCAACCGCGGCTCCATCAGAAACGGACAACTTTTGTCGGGTATATCATATATTAGTTTGTTTCTTACCGTTCAGGAAGACTAAAGCAAATAATGGTGGAATTTTTTTTTTATTCGTCGTTTTGTTTTAAGCGGCTGCAATTTATCCGAAAACATGAACACCTCGAACGTAGTGTCGCTGCAGACGTTGAGCGATGGTAAAATTCAAGCGACCCGGTCGCAGGGCGTTAAGAGCCGGAACCCCGAACGAATGAGCTTGGACAGGTCGGTTCATCGGGAATGGATTGATGTGGTCAAATACCATGTGTACCATGGGCTAATACCACCCGTTTAAAAAAATAAATATATACATATATGTATACATAGTTCTTAAAACATTACCTTTAACTTGTTTCGCCGTGGCGTAATTGATAATAACAATTTGGGACGGTCACGGGTAAGTCAACTCTGAGGTCCTAAATGGTTTCTTGTTATGTAATAAAGAAAGATGAATTAAAAAGTGCATTATCATATTGAAAATATTATTATATATTAGGTTTAAATTTTTATAAAAATAAAATTTACCTAATTCTTTCTCAGTTTTAGAACTATAGTTATAAAAAATAAAATAAGACATAATTAAAAATGTAATACTTTCTCGCATTGAAGTGTAAAGAATTATTTACTGTAATCCATATTTAATTTTGTTTACATAATAGGTTCATTTGTGTACGAGTGGCCTTTTTTTCAATTTAAAATAGCACTCCTGGGACAAAATTTTAAAATGGTCTAAAGTTTTGTAAAAAAAATCACAGTTTTATGGAAACAAAAAATATAAGCTTATTTACGACAAACTACAAAAAGTTAGATTTTACCTTCTCGACTCAAACCACAGAATTTCAACTAATTATGCGTTTTAAAAAACAATTCAATCAACTCGTTATTATTTAAAAAACGAAAGTTATTAGACAAAACTGGTCGTAGATTATAAACAAAAATAATCCAGTTGATAACTTAACGTTAACTTATTTATAATTATACATAGGAGAGGTTTGATGTCTGTTCCTGTGATTACGGGCGAAGCGCGTTTGAGGCTTTTATCGATGCAGCATAATTTACTGACAAAACTAGACGGTATTTCAAGTGCAGGCCTATCAAGATTGGTGTTCTTGGATATTTACGGTAATCAGCTGGAGAGGATCACAGGTCTTGAGAGTTTGAGCAACCTACGGGTACTTTTACTGGGAAAAAATAGGTATTAAAAAAAAGAATGTTGTAAAATTGATTTATTAACTAATTGGTATAGGTTTACTGAAATATGTTATTATTCTTTTTTTTAGAATCAAACGCATCGAAGGCTTGAAAACGCTGCACAGATTGGAAGTTCTAGATTTGCACGGCAACCAATTGACTCAGGTAGGTGGGTTACAGAGTCAAGGCGAGCTAAAAGTGTTAAACTTGGCAGGCAACCAAATCAAAGTTCTGGGGTCATTGGATTTAGTTGGCTTGAGGTCGCTAAGAGAACTTAATCTCCGGAGAAACCGATTGAAATGTCTGTTAGGGTTTGCAGAAACCCAACAGCTGACGAAATTATTTCTCAGCAACAACGAACTTAACACGTGAGTATAACTACAGTTAAACAAAATGTTTACTTTATCTCTTATTTTCTTTACAGAATCGATGACATGCCCAGTGTTGTGCATTTATACAAACTCCAAGAGTTGGCCGTCGACAACAATCCGGTGTCGATAACCGAAGAATGTGTGCCGTTTTTGGTATCGCATCTTCCACAGCTTCAAGCGTTTAACCGTCTTAAGATAACCGATCAAATGAGACGTGCGGCCGTCGTGTGGAAGGAAACCCGAGAGAGTCTTAAATGTGTAGCAGCCAACTCGATGCACGAACCAGAAAAGAAAGGTCGCGATAATATCATATACAACGCTAAAACCAATTGGGAATTGATGAGATCACATCAGACCATACAGCCCAGTTTGGCATCTTCGCTGAAAGATCTCAGGAGCTCTACGGAAACAGAAGACGGTAACAGTGTTCACCTCTTTAACAACCCTAATTTACATCGGGTGAGGTTTCCCGTTAAAGTGTTTAATATTAAGGGTCCTCACTTTATTCTTAGGAAACGTTAAGGAAACTCATAATTTAAAATTTGTCTGATTGGATGGCTATATGGGAAAAATAAAATAAGGTGTGGTGTACATCTAAAAAATTCCTGAATCGGGAAATTTGTAGATTCAGGTAGCTGAATTGGGACGTGAGCTATTATTGGACTTTTATAGAATATCCTTAATGTTTTGTCATTCCAGTATGAATCTTACAAGAATATTACAAGAATTCTTGATGTTATTAGGGAACTAATTTTTATCATCGCATCGTTAAGCATAATGACTGTTTATATAGGAAATACTTACAAGATGTAAGTATTTCCTAGCAAGATGCTAATGGTGCCAATTTTTTCCAGGTACGAAAAGTGATTCGGCTTTGTGTAAAAATACTACACAAAATCATGAGCACAAAGCAACGGTTGCCGAACACCGGAAGAAGAAAATGTATTTTTTGTACAAAAACCGAACGTTTGTGGAAAAGAAACTTTGCCAGCGACCCAAGACTGGTAAAAGTGAAATGGTGCCCGTCACGCGGCTGCCACCAATACTCAATCAATACCTTAACCAGAGTCCGGACACCCGACGAAAGAGCGAATTCCGCCACAACGACAGCAGCAGCTTAGACATGTCCGATCACAGTGTAAACAGCAAACGAAGCGTTTCTGGTCTGGGCAGCGTGGATGGAGAAGAATCTAGTAGCGACGACATCGATAGCAACAGCAGTGATGTGTCTTTTGAACATAAGTTACCTCCGAAAAAGCCCGTCAGCCGCGGTAGGCCAATACAAAGCGCTAAACCTAGAGTATCAGCTCCTATTATAAGCGATAAACAGGACAAAGACTTCAGGCCAGCCACGTCCAAGCCAAAACCAAAAGGATCGTCTTCCAACCCAAAGGATAAAAACAAAGAACAGGGCGAGTATTCGGCAGCGACTTTGTTTCATTTGATTGGGGTTGGATGCTTTGTTCTGTGCTAATATTTGTGTGATCGCAGGTGGAGATTATTTGGTGGAAATCACCGGAATATTTTTGAACGTCTACGGCCAAGGCAGCTTGCGGTACATTGACAAACCGTGGAACCAGTCCAATGCAAACGACGTTACCACAATTAAGTTCAATTACGTGAACTTCAACTCCCTGGTGCCGGTTTTCTCTAAAATCAAAAACCGCTTTCCTAATGCTGAAAACTATTTTTTCCGAGATACCAACATTTACTGCCTCGGTCAGCTCAACGCTTTGGCGGACTTACAAGGCATAGTTTCCTTGTACATACACGAAGACGGAAATCCCATCAGTAGAAAGGACTGGCAACCGTATGCCATTTACCGACTATTGCATTGGGGTCTAAAATCCATAAACGAAGTCGAAGTAAATACACAATATCTAAAATAAACGAGGCAAACGAAAAATATTTTTCATTAAACAGCGTTTTCTTTTATATAAGAAAAATATGAAAATTATTTTATTTAATACCGTAAAAAAAACATTAAGCTTCATAAAACTAAACAAAATTTTAAAATTAAAGCGGTTTTAATCTATATGGACTGTACGTAAGGGTCTTCTATTTGAAACAAAAAAATGAATCATCAAACTTCAATCACACTTAAAAGCAGTAAATAGTTAACTCGGTGTTTAAATTTGATTTTTGTTTGTTTCAAACACGTTGCAGATTGATGACAATCAAATAATCAAGTCATCAGATACTTTTAAAGGACTGAGCGATTTGGTTCTGAGTTCCCTTCCCGAATCATTGTTGACGCCATTGCTCAATAAATTACAGTTGGACTACAGCGCAGAAGAAAATGCGTGCAAATGGCTTAAGTCGTCCGACCCAGCACTGAGAAGTGTAGTCTGCAAAGAAGCCTTGCAGTGGCGTAAAAACGGCAATGCTCAAGTATGTTTAAGCAATATTTCTTTGTGAATAATTAACATAAGCCATCTCATGATGGCAGCGTTGGGCCTTCGTGGTATGTTAAGCTACATGATGGTGAATTTATATTGCAATTTTAATTTAGGAACTAGAGAGAAGTATTTTTTTAGAATAAAATTTAAGAGAATAATTGCCAATAACAATTAGCCTACTTAGTTTGTGACTACTCGGAAAACTATTTTATTTGTAAATACTTATTTATTTTGTTATGAAAATATAACGAAAATTAAAAAAAAAATAAACATAACACACTAAAATAATAAAATATATAATATTCTTTGTAAAATAATTTACAAAAGCTCATACAATTAAAATAACTGGTTTTTAATTAGGACGAATGTATTTGGAGACATAAAGGAATCGTCCATTTTAACGCTTTGATTAATACGACTTGCCTTGCGATGGCCAAACTTCTGCTATTGGAACAAGAATGGCCACACGTTCTCAAAGAGCTCATTCAAAATACATTGGTCGATTATTCACAATTGGAAGATTACATGAAGAAGAAATTGAACGAACTACGTATCTCTTGAAATAATTTCTTTGCTTTGTCGCTTTTGTATTGAATTAATAGTTAAACATTTTTTTTATGCATTATAAAACTGTTTTAATCTTAACAGTTAAAAGGTGTATAAAAGTAATGTTTATTATCAATAGGTTTATAAATTCTGAACCTTAATTGTTGTAAATTAATTAAATCCGAATATTTTTTTTTATATAATTAGATAAATTTCTTAAATATAATTTAGGTAATTAAAATAAATTTAATTATTTAAATTTAATGCTAAAATATGACTTATCCCATTGAACTTGAGTTGACTCTTCTAATCACAATTCACATTTTCTTTCATCGCCATCAACAACCATCCATTTTTTTAGATTTCCTGTCTCTAAGACCTTTGAGAAGTGTAGATCTACATTAATGTTCCTTACCTGTTAACTAATTCATTGCTTTTCGTTCTTACTGTACGCCCAAACTAGGTATCTTAATATATTCACTTTCGTCTTTCATGTCCTATTAGTTCATTCCCTAGTCTATTTGCTCCACGCATCCATAAAAACATGATCAGTTTTATAAGGATAAAAAAGGAGAAGTAGGTATCTAAAATAAATCAAATTATTTATTATTCAAAATAAAAAAAATGAACGAATAAAATTAAACATGAACCACCATATTGATTTCATGTATTTATACAAAGTTGCATTCTTTAAATTTTTTTCAGTGAAATATTTCAATAACTATTTCAATAACTAATTCTATTTAATTACTTAGTTTGCGGATAAGCCAAGTGTCGACTTTATTGGACTGGCGTTGTCTCCAAATAACTAAACGATCTATTCCTGTTTTAACAATAAATCGTTTTAAAATAAGCCATTTACAGTGAAAACAATAAAGACATATTTATTGGATAGGATTATTAATGAAAAGTATAATTACTTAAAAGTAAAATTGAATGCACATTACGTCCATTGGCAATGATGACGGTCAATGTTATACAACGACTTGATTTGACGTCGGGCTGTGCGCCGATTCCCTCTAAAAATGTCATCAAAATAAAATAACTAGCAGCAACCGACAGCTAAAAATTTAAATTATCTTTGGAGATATAAGTCCACGATAGATAAATATGCGTTATGGCCGTTATCATTTAAGTTTCAAAAGTTGCTATCAAAAAAACTCAATTGGATAAAAACGATAAAAATTATGAAAAATTAAGAACACATTACATAAAATCATCATAAAAAAAAAATTCAATTTCTTATTAAACCCTTAATCCGGTGACAGATTGACGACCCCTCCCGGAAGCGAATTCGTCAAGAAACCATCTCATGATGGCAGCGTTGGGCCTTCATGGCCCGTTAAGCTACATGATGATGATGATGATTAAACCCTTAGAGAAATTGTATGTATATATATATATATATATATATACACTTTATACATATGATTATACTCACGGCTCTTGTATTATACTGAGTTATAGTGGACTGAATTTGGGCACTGAAAAAAAATGAACTTAATGAGCATATGCCATATATAATTAATACACATTTACACATAACTATTCTAAGATTATATATAAGTATTACTAACGAAATAACTATAAACTAAAGGCTAAATATGTAATACGTGTATGTTTTTATAAATCAGTTTTTCGGAACAATCGTTGTACTAGAAAAAATGTATAGGTATATTTAAAAACAATCGTTTAAGAAATCTTAAGCAAATAGTTTTTTTAAATTTTGCAATAAAAATAAAATCTTCAAGTACAACTCACTAATTTTATTGCGCCAAAAAGATATATATATATATATATATATATATATATACTTATTGAAACATTGTACATATTTAAAACAGTATACATGTATGTACATTTTTAATTTCGATGCGTAGTTGAGAGTGTCTGGACTGATTTTTTCATTAATGGGCATAAAATAAAAGTATACCTTTTCCCCTTCAAAATTGAGAAAAAGCACAAAAAAATTACTTATTGGCTATAACTATTTGAAAATGAATCGATTTATGTAATTCCAAATTTATATGGAATATTCTATGACGTAGTATAAATAATATACGTAGCTAGATCAAAAACCCCTTTTCTTCTCCCAGAAGAAGTGGGAACATTTTCTTTATTTTCATATTTCAAGCGAATTTTTAGGATTTCAATTCTGAAAATTAGTGTAAAGGTAGCTAGATAGAGTTGGAATATAAAATATACTATTTTCTTAAAAATCTTTACCTATCAAACTGTTTTTATTAATTAAAAAAATGGAAAATTATACTTTGACCGCAGTGAACATTCGGCAACTACCTATTAAATGAAACAGACATGAGACAACAAACCTTATTAGTTTTTTACATACCCTAGTCCCTAATACTGGAAATTCAATTTTAAACATATTTTTTGCACTAATGACTTAATCTTATTTAATAAATATACTTTAATTAGAAGTTGGTCCAAACAGCTACTAAATTTTCCATTCTACTAATCGTATAATCGTACATCAAAAATGAATTACCAATTTCTGTTGCAACTTATTATGCGGTTTGTGACGACACTTAGGCGGGCAACGGCAAGGAATTTGACTGTTTTTACACCTTTGACATAGTGCACATTTGCAGTTGCATTTTTTGAACTTGCCAATATTGAAAGGCCGGCACATATAGAAAACAAAAATCAATATCACTGAAATGACTATGCCGGCAATGGCTCCAAATATGATTTGACACCAATATAGTTCACACATACAGAACATTTTCGCACTACTGTCGATAATCTACATTTATATATAAATATACAGTTTATACTTATAAACAATTCAGTTTATCCTTTAAAAATGTAATATTTAAAGTCAAACATTATGGCCACAGGACAATTATTAATGACAATTAATTTTTGTCACACCTAACACGAGTTTCAAAGTTTTGTTTTAAAAAAACAAACATTTTATTTAAACTTGTTGTACCATATTATTATAAATACTTTATTTTTAGGGACATCGCACTACATAAGTCATGGCCTGTGACTTCTAACTACATAATACGTATTTTACTGTTTCACACTAAACTTATAATCGGAAAAATGTACTCATTACTTTTCAAATGGACCAGTCAACCCGCACTATTGATGCATAAATTAATATTTATTCTAAAACAAATGATCTTACATTTTTGTTCGGAATGCACACCGACGGAGCATCGGAAATGAATGACGAGAACAATAATGACATTTTGTTCAGAAATGACCAAATAATTAAACTACTCACGGCGAAACCATAGCGATTGATATGATCTAATATAATCGTTTGTTATAAATTGTGAACACATTCATAATAAGTACAATTGTTAATAATATAAGACTTACCTACCGGATTTATTCAATTTAATATACGTTTTACTTGGAGTCAAAACGAGCGTCACCATTTTCCGTCAAAATAAATAAAAATTTGTTACCTAATATGTTTTAAGAACCCCTGAATCTAATTTATACATTTTCATTTTTTTTAGTCTACTAAATTGAATTTATGTATTTTTTTATGATATAGGAAAAAAAATAAGTAATTACGAGTAACCGTGGGCATATTGTGCTAATTTATAACATTTTTAAATTTAGCTACCAGTTAAAAATGGCATTCACGATCGAGGTGCTACGACAAAAAGTTGCTCTCGTCAGAATATAGGGTAATAACTAATCATAATTCATATAGCAGTCGATAGACAAATTATTATTTCAGCCTGTAATCGGAGAGCAGTAATTAAAATTATAGATTTATTTACAGGGGTTCTCAAAAAATATTAAGTAACAAACTTTTTTTTTATTTTAGCGGAAATCGGAGTACAACCTTTGGAGGAAAAATGCTGATAACGGTCGAGGGTCATTTTGGCGGAAAACGGAAACACCCGTTAAAACGGGTATTAAACCAAATAAATCCAAAAAAAATGTTCCGCCTATCAAACTTAAAACTACAAAAAAAAAACATAAACGTTTTAATACCTGAAAACAATAAAATGATAAAATTTAAAAACCGAAACCTTAACATGAAAAATGTGTACCCATTTTGCGAGCTTAGGACGTAAACGCTAGATTTATACCGAAGAGCTGGTAAATTTGTAACTACTAATAATATTACAATAGAGAAAGGATAAGAAAGGATTAATAGATAAGCATAATATATAAAATATAATAAACATATTTTCATCCCTATTCCGTATTACGAAAAAAAAAATAGTTGAAATTAATTTCAGGTTAAAACACAATTAGGCATATTAAGATTTTATAATTATGTCATATTAATTTTTTTTTGCCATATCATAATCCCACATAAATATTTGTATATTAATATACTTATTAATTTAAACTACTTATTGATATTATCTGATCATTATTGACATAATTATACTTTCTACTGTACTGTTTTCTGTGTTAAATAAATTACGCCGTTCAAACGTTACACATAAATATTTTTTTTACGACAACGCCATTCGGAAGCTCTGTAAAACTAAAGTATGTGTACTGTGTAGGTACTAACTATTATCAACTTATTAACAGCGACAGGAAAACTTTATTTGAATCTGTGATAAGATAAATAAACCATGAAATTATACCAATAAAAAACTTGAAAAAGTATCGTATCGCTATTTTTTCACAGTCACATTATTCTAAGAAATTCTTTGTGGAGGCATATTGTAAAAAACATACAAACCTATTTTTGAACGCAAAGACTGTTCAATTTTAAAAATTTAAATTTTCTACGCCGTTAAATGTTTTAATGTGTTTAACTGTAAATCCAATTTTATATGCACAAGTCACCAAAATTCACTGAAAGTGTGCATATCAAACCAAAATAAAAAAATAATTACAATTTAAATGTTACAACTAAATGACTTGTGAAACAGTTTTTTTAAGAATATTATAAATCATGGCAAAGTTATTCAAATTAATGGATAGTGTTATATTCATTCCTTAACTATAATAAAAAATATTAATGTCCTACAATATAATAGCGATAGAATCTTTTAAGTATTTAAGACCCGCGGTTCGATAGGAGAGTAGAATAGTGTTCAATGATAATTACTGATCTACCTACCTACCAACTGAACTACAATATTCGGTAGTAATATATTGTTATATTTTTGCACTGCTTGAAATAACATTCTTTACGGGTTTTATTCAATTAATATAATATTGATATTTTAGAAATTCCGTGTAAATGTTTTTCTAATATGAATATTTTCAAAAAGATTACATGGCATTTTGAAAATATCAATATTTTTGAGCTGACTCGGCCTTCCTTGGGTACCTACTTATTGTTTGTACGTGAGATACTATGGCCGCCGTGTTGTGAACTTGTGCATATGGCTTTGGATCAGTCCAGCTATAATGTAACCGTTTTTCTTTTGTTTTCTGCGCACAGAAATGATGGGAAAGCAAGTCTTGTTCGTGATGCTCATCGCCTTCGCAGCAGCTAGCATCTACGGATCGTCGGTCGTCGAATCCAAAACCGAAGACAGTTCTCTGTCGAACAGTGTCTCAAGCGACTTGTTGTCGGAAGATCTAAGCTTCCCTCAAATTATGGACTCTGCTAAGACCGCCATTATGCCATACTTGCGTCTCCGTCGGGCTTCCTCTAACGAACCTAGTATATTGGAAAAAATATCTATCATGTATTGGATTAAGAAAGCGGTAGGGGTCATCGTGAAAATTGTGTACAAATTCTTTAAATGGGTATCACTAAGAATGTATGAGGCTATGTAAGTTTCATCTTTGGTAATATGTGTAATACGTTTTCGGCTCATATCAACAACTCGACAAACAACAGAGTTGACGCTGTGATGGTCGAAACATTATTTAAAAAAAAAACAATCATTTATAATATCAAAAAAAAACATTTTAAAGTTTCCTAACATATTGTTAGTGGGTTGTTTACTTAAAATAAAATAAAATATCCACAATGCTACACCGATTGATTTTATTGTACTTTAAACTATCATATTATATTATTATGCTATGCCTATCTATACAGAAAATTTAAAAACAACAATTAGGAAATTAAACCGAAATCATTTTAATTTTAGCTACAGATCTGAAAATATTCTGTTTATATAATATATAATGAACAAAAAAATCGCCGAAATAATAAAGTAATAACAAGTTAAGGATGTTGTTTTGCACAACTGGACTTACAAGGCGGTAACTCTTTTTTGCACTATTTCACGTGTTATCCTTATATGCTAATCTACTCTGTATCGTTCTAATTTTAGTGCCTATATGTACTACCGAAGCACTTTAAGTACTCTTAAAACAATTTCAAATAATTTTTAATTCAAATATTCTTACACTCGTAAAATCTGACAAAAAAAAAGTAGGTATATAATATATATTCATATTTTTACTTTTGCACAACAAAATATAAAAATCAAATAAAAATATGATCTATGATAATAATTATATAATACTTCATCAAAGACAAATCTTATTTTTACTATAGAAATTAAATCACAGGTCCGAAATTTTTAACACTTATCCAGTTTATCCAACCATATATAAACTGTTTGAATTTCAGACGTCTATGTTCGATAGATCGTATAAAAAAGAAAAATTTCGTCAAAATGAAACCTAATCATCATCAAATTTTAATCAGTTACTGTTGTAAAGAAAAATTTCAATCCTCATAGTCTTTATCGGCGTTGTTCAAAACCGTACACTTTGTTGTGAACTGTGTGAATTACTTATAACAGTGTTAATATAAATAAAAACCGTACAAATGCTCAGGTAAATTAAAAATTAAAATATATTAGATTCAAAATTAAGTCACAAAAAATATTTCAATTACTAATATTAATACTAATGAAACCACAATCATTTTATAACAAATTTCTAGTCAACTTCAAAATAAGAATACAAAAGCCAGTACATAGGGATCGAGGCTTAGTGGGGAAGTCACGTATCTACAGGAATTCTTGTAACTGAAAGTCATAAAATCACTTTTAAATAAACGCTTCGATGCGAATCTGTTGATGGTATTAATACCTACAAATGTCGATAAAAGCATCGTAATGGCAATGATATGCTTAGAATATTATTTTTAGTATAAGATAGTGGATTGATCGTCTGTCTATGATTATTTGTTGCTGTTGTCAGCTATGGGTACGTATCGTAAACAACAGTATAATTTAAATATTTCACAAATTGACTCACAATCACACGTAGCAATTTACATCAGTCAAGCGTACTTTTTCATTGTTATTCGGTTTTTCTTTAATAAGAAACCATTTTGACGATAAATTTCCGAGAAAATTGTATATGTTATAATCCCACTCTATATTTACTTGTTGCTACATGAATAAATCGGTTTAGCAGTTTAAGAGATATCGTGGGCCCAGACTAAAAATAATATATGAAAGCACATTATTGTAGAAACAATACTTTCTCAGGTTCGCATCGATGATTTTACACAAATTCTATCATTTATATTAAAGTTTAATTTCTCCAATAATTGAATTCTTTTCAAGTTTGGTATTGCTTAAAGTAAAAGAAAAAAAACGTTTAACACATTTTAATTTTTATACTATCATTTTTTTATAAATAAAAAAAAAAAAATTATAATATTTGGTTGGGATTAATATTAATAATCTTTTTTTTAATTTTTTAAAATGAATTATATATTACAATAATATGGACGTTCTTTATGTAACGACCTTAAACACTCTTTTATAATATTCTAATAATTTGTATAATATATTATCCTAAGATATCCATGGCCAAAATGAATTGTCTTACATCATGATACTCTCACAATAAAAAATGTCTACACACTTATACAACACCAATTATTAATAATAATGATTAATAAAAAGTTTTATAGTTAGTTTAAGAGAAAATAAAGTAATAAACCGACGGACTTAAGGGGTTATAATGCTTAAGACTGATTATTATCGTTAGGAAATCTGTTTTGAGGCGGCGGCTGTCCTTCGTTTTGAGCATTTTGGAATTGCATACGAAGTCCGTCCAACAGATTTGGGTTGGATGTTTGCAAGCGTGTTACTATAGTTTGCCCTCTATAACAACAGAAAAATATTGAATGTCATGCAATTTTTAATTTACTATTAATATACTTACACTTGCATTAATCTATCTAATCCAGCACCACCAGATTGTGTTACATCTCCAATAATATTGGTCAAACTATAAAAAAAAAAAAAATTAAAATATTGTACCATCATTTTATTTTATAATTCATGTACTAAAGTTAAAATAATGGCTGAGATACAATTTAAAAAAATTATCAGACAAATAAGACTTTTATTAAGAGTTTTTAGAATAATCTACCAATGTATAAGTAATTTATTTTCATAATTGCACATTTTTATTAAAATATTTTGAAATTTATTATAGTCGCAGCAATTTTGTTTAATATAAGTAAACTTATTAGTGTCATTCTTGTTAGTTAACAAAAATGTGTTTAATCAAATACACCGTTTTATAAGTCATGTAGAACACTTACACTGAAGAAACCTCAGGATCGCTCATTAAACGGGTAGCAGTTTCAATCAAATCTGGGGCTTGTATGTTGAAATCAGCTGCATTTGGTTGTTGATTTCCCGAGTTCGACTGCATGTTATTTAGTGTCAACTGATAGTTTCTTTGATAACCGACATTTTCCGGATCCAATTCTAGTGCTTTCTTATAACACGATGCAGCCTTTTGAAAATCGTTTGTTTGTGAAAACGCAAGTCTGATAAAAAAAAAACAATTAAAATAACAGTTTTTGTAGGGTAAACTCAGTACCCTTGCTGGCTTAACGCACACTAGTCGACATATAATATATTTATAAATAGGTCGGTTCAATTTACAATTGTTTCAAAAACCTTTTAACTATTAGTTAAAAGATACGAAAAACGTCTTATATGTAATAGAAAACATTGAACAGTCAATTTCATAAATAACTGTCCAATTGAAGTTGAATACAGTTAAGCACTCAAACATATGGATGTGTATAATACAAATATGTTTGTGTATTTTAATTTCTAACTGTGCTCCAATTTGTGTTAGCTGTTGAACATCCCTAGTACTAAATTAATAATAGTGGTAAATATGCTAAAGTTGACGCTAAACGGATTTTATACTTTACATTTATTATTAGTGCAAATAAATAATGATAGATACCCCAAGCGACAATAGGCTTTGCTGTAATGAGGTTCGAGTTCAATTGCTTTCTGACAATCTTCAATGGCATCTTTGTATTTTCCTATTGCATTATAAGCAGCAGCTCTGTTGCAATAATAAATGGGATTGGTAGGATTTAATGTTACTGAGCTGAAATAAAAATAAATTCTGTATACATATACAGGATAAAAATATGATAATAGCATTTTTTTTTTTAAACAAACATTGAATATGCATCAATGGCTTTTTCATATTCCTGATTTTTCATGAACTCATTTCCACAGTTTTTGTTATGTTCGGCAACTTGGTCGTTACTTTCAGGTGCTGCTTCGGGAGCTTTTGAACTCTTTGACTGTAGGAAAAACAATTATCAACATTATTTTTTATATATTCTGTACTATTAGTGCTTTTTTTAAGTTCTTAAGGAAGTATATTTACCTTAACGAAAACATATTCAATATTATCATCTCCATGAATATATTCTTTCATTATAGTTTCTAATTCCATGGAAACACCATTTGACTCAGTCGGGCTTATACTGTATGCCGATTCTATGCATTGAACAGCTACTTCTAAACTTTCTTCGGCATCGCTAGAAAATCTTGCTGTGTTTAATTCTTTCTTCAAATGATTTATAATCAGTATGGCTAATTTCCTTTTCTCCTCCATCTAATAAATTGAATAAAACAAAATGTAATACTTACTGACATGAATTAATAAACTAATATGATGATTATAACTAACATTCATGTTTAACAATATTATAGAAGAATGTTCACGTAGTAAATTACTTCTAACAATAATACTTTAGTTTATATGGTTATTTTTAGTATTATCAACTTTAGATAATGATAGAAATGATTTCTTCGGATAAAACAATTAAACTATAGTCCTGTAAACTTTGAACTGAATATACCACACCCTTTAAGATGTAAAGTGAAAACAAAATGAACTCTATAACTTTATTTAGCCATGAAAAAAGCTTTGGAAACCACAGATCAATATAACATAATATAACAATGAAGGGTGGAGGGTTGGAAAAGCCATGGAAGAAAACGTTTACCTTCAGCATCATATATACATATATGTTATGTTTTATATACTACAGAAAGAAGTTGTATTGTACAGGGGCCGGCTGGGAGGTATGGGGTTTTTGAAATGACTGTCACATATTTATTTTCAAAATAATTTTAAAATTTAAAATTTATTTTTTTCATAAATTACTCAAACATTGCCATTTGCAAAAAATAAAAATAAAATAATCAACTGCGAAAATATACATCAGTTAGGTGGCATCAATTTTTGTCGACACATTCTTGTAGACTGGTGGCGAAATTTTTGAACATTTTGAAAACAGTGTAACCACAATGCGCGCCTAACAGTCATTTCAAAATCACCATACCCCCTGCCGCACCCTGTATTATGTGTTAGTGTTGTATAAATGTTGACACCAGTTGAACCATAAATTTAGATTTAAACAATATAAAATTATAACAGCCTCAAATTAAATTTATAATTTGTATTTTTAGTTATCAAATAATTATTTGCACAATAATAAATATACACCAGTGGCCCAATAGGAGAAATATGCTATGGAGGCACCTCTTCAGATCTTTGAATCCCCTCCCACACTTTTGTCCATTTTACTTATTGATATAAAAAAAGTAGTTTAACCAATAAATAACCTAATTCGTAAGTTCCACCCTAGGAATTTGAGTGAAATGACAATATTGTTTAATATTAAAATGACTAAAATTTAAATAGTCAAAATTGCCATTTAATATAATCATATTAAAGTAAATAATACATAGTTTGAATCGTTTTTCCCCCTCTACACCATGATACAATTCTATAAAACATTAAAACAGTGCCATCAAAATGATTTCAAATTATAATAAAATAGGATATACGGCCGCCAGCAACTGTATGGCCTCCTAAAAATAATGTAGTGCTGCAGCTTGCGACCTAAAATTCAGTAATAGATAACCAAATGTTTGAAGCCACCGGCGGCTGTATAGCGATCAACATTTTTAACGGCAACTGATTTCACTAAAAAGCAAACATCATTTTAGCTTGAACTGATAAAAGAAACCATTTTCATGTAAAATTGTTAGTAATGTTTTATATGTGAAATTTGTTTGGTTAGTTAAAATTGGATTCAAATCAGTGAGGAAAATTTTGTTAATTATTATTGTCGGTCTTATGGTCTTCTAAGACTCCAAACTTAATTTGCACCACTGATCTAAGCTTATTATTATATGATTATTATAACTCTATAATTTGTGGAAATTTAATTTGTTGAAGAGTTTTAAAGGATATAATACATATAAAATAAGCTGTTTTAACTGAAAAACATTAATTGTTTAAATTATACTACAATTTTTTTCTAAATGGTTTTTTAACATGGCTTTTTCTTGCATTCAACTAATTACACTTGTTATTTATTAACACGTATATTATACATTACATGTATAAAGAAATAATTATGTATTAAATAAACTGCAAAGAATGAGTTTGTTTTTCAAAATTATTTCTAGAATTTAAACTTCAATAAATAAATCCGGTTATACAACTGTCAATATAAACTGTTTATATTATTTTAGGATCACAACAGTAAGTAAAACCTACAATTATGTGTAAAATGATTTTTTATTCTGTGGACTGGGGGTAAGAATAGGCCTACAGTAACTCCTGCTTATCGTAGAAGTGATTAAAATGAGGTAGTGGAGGGCAGAAGTTACCACTATTACCGACCATTGGCAATTTGCATAACAGAACTTATGGCAATGGAAATATTTGTTGATGGTAGCAAGGTTGGCATGGTATCTAAAGGGCCTCGGACTCTAAATCTTTAGAGGGCTCCCAAAAACAACTTTATTTGTATATTTTACAGTTGTTTTAACCTAGCAATCCCACATAATGTGTTAAATGCCCAGATCCCAGAGCCTAAACATAAATGGGGGCTATGGCCACAGCCAGGCCGACACTGGATGGCAGACAGGATATACTCCAAATATTGGCTTATCAACTTCCATGAGATCTGGAAGAAGGATACCAACACATTAAATTCCTAGTAAAGCAGTATGGATCAAGGTGACAAAGAGATGGACATTACTAGAGATGAGTAGAAAGAATATGGGAAACTACAAAGCCAACCTTAGGGTTAAATATCAGAAGAAGAATAAAGTAACTATAAAGGAGTCCAACTTTCAAACATTAATAAGCACAAAACTTGATTGAGAAAACATTGAAAATTAGTTCATGAAAGTGCAAGAACAATGTAATAAACGAAACGGCAAACAATGGTAGTATTTGGTTTTGAGTACAGTTTAAGAATTATGCACAACAGATTAACATATTTCATACTATTTTACTATTACGAAGAGCTGTTGTTCGTGTCATTAAGTTTAATCTTAACATCAAAAAATTGTGTTTTACAACAAGAACAAATAACATTTCTTGTGACTTACCTCTGCGACTTGAACGTCAATGGAACTGAGTAAATTATTGCTAAATAAAGCTTTTCGCGGTTCAACAACAGTTTATGGGAATGAATTGAAAAATTGTCAGTACTATGTGAATTAAATTCAACTTTGGAACAATGATGCGTTAGTATTGTGCGATTGATATCTAGTATCTACCACGGCCGATCCATATTTTGTAGATAACAATTAGTTGGTAAGCTAACAAAAGGAAAACCACGTAATCATTACAGCCCTCTGTTTGATAACAGTTATTGGCTTGTTATCAATTTTCTTTATCAAATCAAAAACTGTAAACACTGCAAATGCACATGGTCCGAGCAATTGTATATTCGACTCGATTCTCGAATCTAGTAAGGTTTGGTTTCGAACTTTGTTTACATCGTGTTTGCACGTTGCAAAATATATATTATCTAACGAATAACTTATTCATTCAGTTGAATATAAACGATTTGGTGATCTTATTGACAACCGAGTACTAATTATCAAGTAAGTAAATCATTTTGTCGATTCATTATTATGAGGACGTACCAGGATTTTGTAGTTGAAAAAATGAATACAGTCAAACCTGTCTAAAACGGACACAGCAAATAAATAATTAACCGTATGAGGCGAAATTGTTCTATGGTCTTGCCAAACGACTTCTCATGTATATTTTACTGAAAGACTCCTAATAAAACTGTGTAGTTTGAATTTTATTTTTGGTCCTGTGCGATTTCGTCTAGGACAGGTTTCATTGTATTTGCAAACTGTCTGTCTGCTATATACACGTGTTTTATAACATAAATACACACATATCTTGTATGTAAGAATTATAAATTATGTTTGAAGGTCATCACTTGAATAAGTATTACATAGATAAGTAAGTGTGGTCAATATATGTTACGCAGATATACTTCTTAACATTTAAAACAAAAATCAAACTTCTTCCTGTAAATAACTGCTGAGTTATTTAACAACACAACTGTTTGGTTTAATCGTAGTTGAACTTATTGGAGAACAAATTTGTCTTTATTAATTCCTAATTTCCAGTGATGTAATTTGGTCATAGTATCACAAGACATTGATTTAAATGCTCTATCCCTTACAATTAGTTGGTGCAATTTTGAGGAAATTAAGAATAGCCTACATCAAAGCGAAACTATTATTGACACTTTGATAGCCATATTAAGGTCACAAAACACGTCTTATTATGTTGTACCATTATAATTTGGTGGTTAAAAGGCTATTAGGTAAAAGCAAAAATCGCATAGTTCTTAGTAAAACAAAAATCATTGATTATTAATGTTTTGTCCTTTTATAAAATATCGGAGATACAAAAAAATGTAACACAAAAGAAAAATTTTGCTCTATACTTCTGTGCCATATTAATGCTAATTATTAAAATGGGGGACTAAGTAGGTAGGGCGGCAGTGTATTAGAGTTTACTGTTGCTGGTTCAAGACTTGGCTACGAGTGGTCTCGCTCTTGACCTTTGGGAATGCAACTGTTTAGATAAAGAGACTACTATGCTCTTTTTAAGAACTAAGCCTTAAAACCTTCTTCCAGTCCATACACAAAAATTAGTTAAAAAAAACTATTTTATTTCTAAGTAATTTAAATTAAATTTAAACACTTAAACCAAAAAGTTTTGTTACTACCTATAAATATCTTATTTAATATTCAACTTTGAAAACAAAAAACTCCATGAAATTTACTTAATAATTTTTTCTAGTCTAAAAAACATACTTATGCATCACCTTAAAAAATTTGATCTTGTAAATAAAATATCTTAATACTAAATTTATTTTGTAAAATGCCCATAAGTATAAATGTTCTAATATTCATAATTATGGCCATTTCACCTTAGTTGATACTCGGCAACTGAAGTTAAGCTGTATCCGTTGCCGCTTGGTCCCAGAGAGGTGACCTCTTGGGACTATTAATTAACATAATGAGAGTAACATTTTCTAATATTGTAAAAACATAAATGTGATGATAAATTATTTTGACTTCGTTATTTTTTTTATTTTAGTCTTTAACAATAGAAACAAAATCTGTCTGGTTAGAAAGTGTAAAATACTTTTTTTAACATTTTATGTCTATATTAATTTCTTCAATCAGGACTCCATAATTTAGATTAGGCCGATTTTGGTTATAAAAAAAGTTTTATTAAAAATAATTAAGATGTATGAAGTAAATAAGTAAAACATGAACTACTTAAAAGACTTAAAGCAGTATATTACATAATATATTTATATATATTTTTTTTGTTATGTGTTACACATTCCTGAATAATTAATTTCATCAATTTTTTTTAGTATTATTCTTAAAAATTGTTTTTAAAATGACTGTCAAACGTTCATCAGCTAAAGATAATAATCTCAAAGGAAAAATTGCAAAATTAAAGGATGAAGAAACAACTATTGATTATACTAAATCTTTAACATCAGGGGATGTCGATTTGATTGAATCTGGAGATGAAAAATTGTCTAAAATTGAAGGAAAACCTAAAAAACTATTGGTTAAAAAAAAAGAAAATAAGAAAAAAGAAATATCAACTACATCAGAATCTATTAAAAACAAAAAAGGATCTAAAAAACCAAAAGGAAAACCAGACAAAAAAGAAGGTAATTTTGTGTTGATGTTATTATAACATTAATTTACATAAGAACCTAAAATCATATTATTTCACCTTTTTTTATTTGTCATTAGATAAACCTACAGAAAAACCTAATTGGAAAGAGTTTAAAAAAGAAAAGCAAGACTTGCGAGTGAAACGTAAGCAACAAAGGTGTCCATTTTACGAGACCACCTTAAAAGTTAAACAGTTATGGGAAAACGTACGCAGAGAGGATTGTCCCAAAGAGAAAAAAGAAACATTGTTGAACGATCTTCTTAAATTTTCCAAGTCTCACTTAGAACCTGTATGTGCCTAGTAGAAAATATTTCCCAAATTATGCTTAAAATGTATTAACATTTTATCCTGACAGATAAAGTATATTTGCTGTTATTTTTAGATGGTTCAGTCACACGATACATCGCGTATCGTTCAATGGATGTTGAAATTAGGAACGCCTGAAATTCGTACACAAGTAATTAACGAGTTGATAAAACATGTTCCGAAAATGCTACTCTCCAAGTACGCTTCTTTGTGTGTCAAAAACATGTTGAAACACGGAGATGTTGAACAACGAAAACTCATGATTAACTCGTTGAAAGGAAAAACGTATGAGCTTACATTGCGTACCGTAAGTATTGGTGATATCAGTTATAAAAAATGCTAAGGAAATAACAATAATTTAATGGTTTGTTTGTCAATGGGGCATATAGAATGCTTCGAAAATAATGGATTTGATCTACACGACTTACGCAACTCCGGAGCAGCAGAATTCAATGATGCACGAAATGTACGGAGCATCAAACATTTTATGTGAAGCGCAAAATGTGCTCTCGTTTGCTGATGTTCTAAAGAATTCCCCAAACACCAAAGACATTATTCTCGCAAAGACTAAAGAACACATTAAAAAATTCATGTTAAAGTAATAAAAACCAAAAAAAATTTATTTTTCATAAGAAACAATGTTCGATTTTTTTTTTTTTATTAATACTTTTTTTTGTTTTTAGGGAGAAGAACTCCATGCAGACCACGTTGGTACACAATTTGATTTATGAGTACATTTTGTATACTGGTGGTAAAGATTGTGGTGAACTTTTTACATCACTTAGAGAATTTCCGCTGGAACATTTCTATACATCCAAGAGTGGGTGTCATATCGCTATGTACATATTGTGGACATCATCGCCTAAAGTAAAATAATATTTCAAATACATTTTTATTTTTTAAAAATAAATTTTTAATTTGTTTGTCATATTAGGAAAAAAAATCTATTCTGAAGCATATTAAAACTACTGGAGCTACTAATGATTTAGTAAATATGGAATTTGGACATTTAATTTTGTTAGCACTTTTCGATTCTGTTGATGACACAGTGCTTGTAAAAAAGGTATACTAAAAATTAATTAGTTTTTTTTTATGTTAGTTGACTAATTGTTTGTACATTTTCAGACAATTATTCCAGAAATATTAAATAACTTAGACACTATTGCTACTAATGAATATGGTCGTAGAGTCATATTGTACTTGGTTTCTTGGAGAGATTCGTCATATTTTCATCCACATGATATTGAAGAATTAAAGAGGGGCGATTCTGTTAAAGACAGGTATGTTACTTTTACCATGTTGCTCGATAAATATTTAGTTAGAGATGACAAAACTTTTAGTATACTTAGTTTTAGTTAGTTAACGGGTGGGCCCAGAATGGGCCCATGCACTCAGACCTACAGGTCCATAGTAAAACTTTTAATAACTTCAACTGTATTTTGTATTATCTTTGATTGTTCCTAGTAAAAAAGAAGATGAGATACGCGTCAAAGAATTGTTGAATGCTGTTTCTGATCGTATTCTCAAACATGTTCAAGAAAACCCACAGTTTTGGTTAAGTAACTCATCAATAGCAATGGTTTTGCTAGGAATTCTGAAATCAGGAAGTGGTAATGTTCATAATTTTATAATTATTACCTGTCCTTTAAACTCAATTAAACCTCCTATAAGCCAATATGACCAAAATAGAATGTCCATTAATGGTTTTCACAAACACCTAAAATAAAAAACCTAACTTCACAAACAAGAAACGATACCTACAACCACCTATGTGCTTAAAGATAGTACTGAACACTGTTTTTCTTGATTAAAACAAATGTCTAAGTACAATTTTGATCCAAGACATACTAGAAAAAATATTTTCTTTTCAACAGAATCGGCAAAAATGTTAACTTTTTATATTTACAATTTTTAGTTTTAATTTTTTTTAAATAATAATTATTTAGAAATAAATTCAAACCTCTATTTTAGAATAATAAAACTGATAAATGATTATTATTCTATCATTAACATTACATATTTTTGGGGGGGAACAATGGAAGGCAAGTTATAAAACAAACGGTCTTAGATCTGACTGAATGTACTCTTCTAAAGATATCACATACATAAGTACTATTAAAGTTTAGGCGTAATATTGTATGGCATGACTTCTTTTAAATATTTTATCCTTCAGCTACATACTACATCACACACTGGTAAAGTGCTTAAGCATATAATTTTCTGCAAAATAAGAAATACTCTGTCCTATAATTATTCTCTTAGCAATTTTTATCACCACCTTTTTAGAATTCAATTTCATAATTTAAAAGGATAAAACAAGTTAGGGATAAGTAACACTATGTTATACTCATGTATAGTCTAAATTGTCTAATCCTTGTAATGGGTATTATGGTAGTAGAATTAGGGTCTAGGTTGAAAAACACCTAACAGGTGAAATATACATTATGCAGCTTTAAACTAAAATTGTACCTACAATAATTGTAAATTACCAAACTAGTGTTGTAGTAATATGATTTAAAAAAAAAAAGTAAATAAATAATTATTTGTGGTTTTTTTTTTAGTTAAGTTAGGTCAACCTTAAATATAGGGAACAATTTATAATATATATAAGTAAATATTGTCGGGTATGCACGTAAAGAATATAACTCATATTTTTGAAAATTGATAAATATTAATAATTAATATCAAAAAATAAATATTATAGAACTATTTGATTTTATGGAAAAAAATAATTCAAAAATAACTTACATTACTAACATAAACTTGATATCCACAATTGTGTAATGTAGTATGTGTCGAATGTCGATAAATGAACTTCTGGGTACATTTGATGTATAGGTGAAAATTTAAAAGAAGCAATGACAGCTATTGCGAATCATATAGTGAATTCGGATAATCAATTAACTGAAAAAGAAAAACAAGTCCCGATGTATGAGCACGCTGGTCTTCACATGATGTTACGAAAACTGATAGGCCACGACCAGGCTATAGTTGACAAAGATCAAAGTAAGACTAGTTAACTAACTTTTTAATTTTAACTATAAATTATATTTATATAATAAATATATAATATATTTATTTATTTTTAGCGACGTTTTCCGAAATTTTATCGTTGTCATTGACTAAAGATATATTGAAATCCTGGGTGCAGTGCAATCGTACATGCTTCTTGCTTGTTGCGTAAGTTTCGACATACTTTTATCTAAATAAATAATGTAACAGTTATGTTAGTTTTGTATTTAATATACTATATTATATTTTTTCTAGTATTTTTGAATCCAAAATCGATTCGGCCATAAAGAACATAAAATCGTTAATGACTCCGACTTTGATGAAAACATTGCAAACCAATAGTTTTTCAGGGGCCAAAGTGTTAATAAAAAAACTTAAGGAGAAAGCATAATATCAATAATCCTATTTGTTAATACTTTTTACTAAATGTATTACGTGTTACATTGTTAATGTAAATCACTTATGTAAGGTATATAATATTACTTTTTAGGTAGAGATTTAATTTTTTGTAAGTTAAAACAATATTATATTCTTACTTTTGTGATATTTTTATTTTTGATGTTATTATATTTTCTACAATATGACACAATTGTAAAAAATAAATACAAATAGAATTTTGACTATGCTACTTTGTATTTATAATGAATCGATTCTCACTCACTTTTTTTCTATTTAATTCAATTAATTGGGGTTTTTTTTTACTCTTTAAATGTTGATATTATCAACATATTGTCTTAAACATAAAAAAAAAAAAAAAAAAAAATATTATGAGGTTCCAAACTAACAGAAGAGGTATCTTTTTGTATTTGTGTAATGTTTTTTTCTTTATTTGACGGAGGTGTTCTTTGAATCTATTACAATTTTGTCTTTAAACGTGACTTAAAAAATTGTATTAATTTGCTCATTATAGTTAATTCTCCAATGAATATTCAATTTTAAATTCATAATACTATTTCTTAAGAATATTCCATACAAATGTATTTTTTTAAAAGTTATAAAATATATTTAAGTTAAAAAATATATAAGTTGCTTAAGGATTTTCTCGATTTTGAAGAGCAAGGGGTGGCAATGATGTCATTTGGGGGGTAGGCAGGGTGAACATTTGCCCCCCCCCCTTATAGACAGCGGGTCCGGTGTCTGGTCAGGTAAATGCCAGTGTTGAGCTAGTTATGAAAACATCCGAAAATTATGTAAGGTATAAATGTGGCAAGAAGCTCGTGCCAGTTTTTTTCAAGTATATAGGCCATCAGAACTTTGTCTCCCCCTTACAAAAACTGAAATGATGCCATTGAGGGATGACCATTTTAGATTTTTGGCGTAACCAAATACCTTTTAAAGTATTAGGTACGATTTATGATGTATAGATTTGCTACACGACGAAATTGGTTGAGCGGTTTAAAAGGTATCGTCCAGACTATAAAACCAAAAATTATAACACATAATTGTAAAAACAATACCTTACCAGCTCAGCATCGAAGGCCGAATCATAAATTGATTATTATAAAGTTAGATAGTTCATATTTTTTTATGTTTAATTATACCTACCTCATTATTTTTTGCTAAAATCGTGAGATCAGTGAACTAGTTTACTTATGATTTCATATACCTATTACCTACCTAGGTTCCAATAAAATGATATCCAACAAAATTTTAATTCAAATAACTAATTTCAACATTTTTGTTATTTAGCTAGTTGAGTACTATAATTGGAGTTTCGAAGACTTAGGGGCACGTGTCTCATCGTTAAATGCAGATGGAATTTGACATACTCAATTTTTTTAAGATAATAAAGAATTTGAGGGGGCACCAGTTACAAATTTAAAATTACGAACTCCCTAATAATATATAGGTACTTTAGCCTCTACGGGCTACGACTTTGATGCTGCTATTCTTTATATTATATATAGGTAGTTACTAATACCTACTCGGATCAGGTCGACAAGTATGAAAACAAATGGGGTTGGTGTTTTGCGATACCATCCGGTCGGCAACAGGTGTTCATCTCTTTTGATGGGGTTCGCGTGTAAGAATTTTATCATATCGACCCACCGGAAATCGGAAAAAATCTTTAGAGCGCAATCGGTTTCCTTTTCATCGTGAAAGTAAACCTTGGCCTTTATGCTTAATACGCGCAACCCGGCACAATGAAGGGGGAGAAAGAAACGCTAGCGAGAGTTCATACTTCATAACATAAACAACAATACCAATAACGAAGTTCAAACAGTGTAGTTTGTACTTTGTAGTTAGTACAGCAGTAGTTTTAACTACACGTCCCAGGCGAGGATCCAGCTTGTGTTAACGGGAGGGGCGGTTTAGTAATGCATTTATAAGTATATATATATATATATACAACGTATCCAATAAGACATTAGGACCTATTGAAGTATTGAACCCTGCGGTCAATATGAACGGCACGGGTTGTGCAGCTAGCGATAGGTACAAGATAATATTTGTAGACCAAACAATATAAAATCAGATTCTATTTTCGACAAAAAAAAAAGAAGACACATGGCAGTCCTCGGCCGCCGGTGTGAATATTAGTCTGCGTTCACTCTGATAGAGATTTTATTTGTAATATTACATAAAATTGATTTATGAACAATAAAAAACAAAAGTTTTGCCCCAAAATTAAAATAGCAAATACTATGATATAGCCAACGGGGGGGACGGCCGCCCCTACCGCCCCCCCTGAATCCGCGCCTGACACGTCCGCTATAGGTTAGGTCATCGTGCTACTAACACTATAGTCTATGTATCTATAATACATTTGAGAAAATTCTCCCTATATTCGTTAGTAAAGGTAACAACTAACATAATACATTGGTAAGATTCCTTTATTTTATTCTCAAAAATATGTGTATACAAATAAATATAAATTAGATAAACTATACAACTTCTGTTATAATAGGTTATTTTAATAGTTGTCTAAATATTATTTTTAAAGTAAATAGAAATATTAAATTTGTGTTTGAATCGGATATCTTATTTTTTTTTTCTTTCATATGGATGTCTTATTGATGCTGTGCTTTTGGGTTAATATTACTTAAGCGGGAATTCTACCTAACAAATTCAAAATTTTAGATTTGTTTTTTAATGATAGACTAAAACTTTTTTGTGAATACACACATTTACTTTTAAATCGAAATTTAAAATATTTATATGCATATTACAGAGGTGTTATTGCTTACACGACGGTCACTAAAATCAGTATATTTTGTAATCTAAATAATATTTTTTATGGTTTTCTCAAAATCGTGTATTTTTTAAAATTGCGGGAAAAAAGAAAAAAAAGTATTTGTTTACCAAATCAAGTATACTATAAGGAATACAATTTTTGATTACATTTTTCCAATCAATAATTTGATGTTCCTCAATGCCTGCAGATAGAAAAGTCGTTGACGAAGCATTTATATGATTATGGTTTATACACATAGGTATACCTACAACTTTGACAAAATTATTATTTTTAAACATGTTTTGTGTAAAATCTGTACCTATGTAAACTTTAAAATTGTGTTAGAAGAAAAAAAATCCTTAAAAGTTTAAGTTTGCTTAAGATTTTTTAAACCCGGTTAACCTCTTAACCTGACCTAATTAAACTTGTATATGGAATCATGCCTCAAGTGGCAAGTAATATCTTTTCGGAATTTCGTTGTCTAGATGTCTTGACTTAAAAGCTTATTTCTAAACAAAAAAACAACCCATCCATTCTTACTCTCACTACGGACCTGTCACCTGTTGTACCCACAAATGACAAAAAACAGATAAATCTCCGTCAACGAATTAGCAAACATTTCTTCGTAAAACTGACCACACCCAACTGTAATTTAATTTTTTTTAATATTTTACATTCTTAGAGTGCGGACTCTGTGGATAATTTATACAGAATGACTCTATTGTTCTAACAAAAGAACAATGAACCATACAATTTACAATCATAACTAATAAACATTGGACCATATTATATATAGAAACGTTTATACATTATATTGTACATGTACTGATAATCCAGGTTTAGCTGTAGGCCTGGAGGCATTTGGAATGGTTGAAAAATCACGATAGGTACGTTATTTTTTCTTTTGCTATTTAAAAAAATTGCACTCTCACATTTATTGTACTTTTCTCTTGGGCAAACGGATCAAGTCAAAACTCCCATTGAATTTTACTGTTTTCATTTTGTTACAAAGAAACGAATGTATAAAATATCAAGTAGGTATCATTAAGTATCATTCGTTTTATATCTTATAAGTTATAACATATATATGATTATTATTATTGTAACAGTAAACATATTTAAAAGAAAAAAATGACATCATAGTAATATTACAACTTATAATAGTAGGTAGGTATTATACTTATCGAGTAGTGTTGTAAAATTTTCACTTGTACGTTTTGAATTATATTTTTAGGACTTATCTAAATAACCAAGAGAAAAAACCTATAATTACAAATACAGATGTTTTGTTTACAAATATTTGAATATTTTTTTATTAACATATTTTAATCAAATAACGAAACCATATTACAATGATATACTTATAATGTCGTTTGTATCTAAGAAAACGATTTTATTTCTTTTTTTAATTAGTTGTCATTAGTGCAAACGTTTGGGGAGAATTTCACCAATAAAACATCATCATCTACTGCCCAAATTTAATACAAAATAATTAGTGTCTACTTAGCGCCAACACTTAATGTCAAAAACAAAAAACTTACAAAAGTTAAGTTTTCTTTTTGGAAATGTCATTTATAAACATTATGCATTATTTTTTATTTATTTTTTATAGCACAATAAAAATATTTTTAAAGTATCCCCAGTCAACAAATTTACCTGTTTAGTAAACAAAACATTGAAAAAAAAATGTAAAATTGAATAGAAAATATCTTTTATCCACTAACCTTAAAGTTATTTTCCTATAGCTTAAATATAGTTACACTGAATAACTTTAAAGGGTAGTTTACTATTACAGTACATATTATTAATTTGTGAATACTGTTGTAATTAAATAAGTAAGTTAGACTACATCGTTTTATTATTTTTCCATATCATTATGTTTATACTATCAAGAACCATTATTTAAAGAATGAGCATAACTTTATCCCCCCTCCATAGGCGCAAATACGGGGGGATAGGGTGAGCTTAGCCCCCCCCCCCCAATGCTACACATAGCCCCGTCAAAAAAATTAGTTTATGCATACAATTTTAAAATACAAAAATATATTTACTTATATATATAATTTGAAAAAATTCCAGCCCCCCCCAAGTTAATAATTGAAATTGCGCCAATAAAATTGCCCCTCAAAAAAAAATCCTAGCCGTTTTAAACCACCTTAGTCGTAGTTTGTAATCATATATAAATTATTAGGTATATATTTATGGTTAAAATGTCCGACTATGTGCATTGCACTATGATGTAATACTAATCGATCATAATATTGTGTTATTTAACCGGAGATGACCAGATGGAATTCGTTTAAATTCTAAACCATAATAATATAGTGTTATACCTCTATCGCTTTGAAACGCGTGTCCGATTGACGTGCTAAGTCAAGGTTGAATACAAATAAAATGATTACAGTATAATATAATATATTGTATTGATAGGTATAATGTAAATGGCAGAG